CGCACGCGCGCGCCCGCGGGCCCCCCCCCACACACACACACACACACACACACACACACACACACACACACACACACATACCACAAAGCCCAAACAGAAGTGGCTGTAATGTCTGGCATGCTCAGGAACTTAGTGTCTCTTCCAAACACTTGTGAAGCTGCTTCTCATTCTCTCTCTTGGCACCGTCTTCCTCCCAGACCTTCCCTCACAAAGTAATTCTGCTTCTCTGATTCTCTCTGCCTGCTTTTTCCTATCCTGACCATGCCAGAGATGCGTCCAAGGGGTCAGAACCTCATTCTTTGGATCTTGCTGGCCTCCCCCATCATTCATGAGAAGTGCATGACCTCAAAGTGCCTTAAGTTTTAAAAGTAGTTTTAAAATTCCGGTGTGACACTGCAAGGTTATACAAATACTGACTAATACAGTGATTGACAGTTGATCTTGGATTCTTGAGCAGTTCGTTCTCTTAATTTCTAAGAGGGGAATGTCCACTAATTGGCATACTGGAGGCAGCTTTTGGAAGAAATAGTTAAGAGCTGGGAACTGTGACTGGAAAGATAACCCTGACTGTTCTGCCCAGGTTCAATTCCCAACACCTACATGACTGCTGATAGCTCTAACTCCAGTTACAGGGTCATGCTGCCCTCTTCTGGCCACTGCATGCACATGGTGCACATATGTACTTGCAGGTTAAATACTCATATACATAAAAATAATGAATCTTTAAAAATCACGTGGAGAACTAGAAATGGGGCCTTGTTAAAGTGGCACTTTTACAAGTGTGGGTCTCAAAATACAGGTTTCCAAAGCAAACACCCAGCCCATTGGATAGACAGGGCTGCTCTAAGTCAGGGAAATGCTGTCTGTATTTTTTTTTTCCCCTTTTAGAAACCTGGGTTTTAGTTCTTTGAGAAATCCAGAATTTAAAGATGTGTTTAGTCAGATGTGATGGTATACACATGCTGCTCGGGCAGAATTGTTTGAACCCAGGAATTCATGGTCAACCAGAGTAGCTTAGCAGGAGGGATCTATGAAAATCCTGCTTAACTTTCCAGCCCCAGAGTTTGAGTACAGAATCTCCCCTTCCCAGCCATCCACCCAGGCAGACAAAGGAAGTCCTACAGAGAAAGCATTGTTAGCCTTTTGATAAACCCCAGCACTGAAGCCTCTTTTGATCATTGAAATCTGCAAGAACACAGACTGGAACCAAGATTGCCTGGATTCCAATGCTGCCACGAATTACCTGTGTGACTGTGGCCAGTTACTTAGTCCTCCAAGGAAACACTAGTAGGCACCAGAAAGAGCATCAAATGAGTGATCTCTTAGAAAGTGCTTGGTGGTGGGGAGCATTGGTTGAACAGACTAGATGCTAGTTAAAATATTTTATTTATTATTTATACAACATTCTGCTTCCATGTATATCTGCACACTAGAAGAGGGCACCAGATCTCATGACAGATGGTTGTGAGCCACCATGTGGTTGCTGTGAATTGAACTCAGGACCTCTGGAAGAGCAGTCAGTGCTCTTAACCTCTGAGCCATCATCTCTCCAGCCCCTCCACCTAGCTCTTAAAAAAAAAATGCATTTAGAGTGTGTGTGTGTGTGTGTGTGTGCTACGACATACATATAGGGCTAAGAGGACAACTTGTAGGAGTCAATTCTTTCCAGTATTGTCAGACTTGGTGGCAGACATTTTTACCCACTGAGCCACCTTGCTGTCCCCTATAGAGCTATTTGATGGGTTTTCTCTTCCCTCATGTTCCTGTTTCACTGGATATACACCTTCTCCAACCCACGGTCAGAAAGAAGCAGCAGTTGCTAATTGTTCTCTAGGGATGTGAGCCTAGTGATGTAAAATCTGACTTCTCACACAGCTTGAAATGAGCACTCACATGAACTCTCCTGAACTCAAGGCTGCAAGTTCACTCTAAGAGCTGAGTCTCCTCCTGATCCCTCTGACCACTGGCGGCAGGGACACCAAACATGACTCATACAAAGAAGATGATTGGGGAGTTTGCCTGACAGCATTGTATCCTGGCCTTAGTGCACAATGTGTATGTGACTTTGAGGAAGCTGATTTCTCCCTGCCTCAATTTCCACATCTGTGATATGAGAATTGCCCATTCTACCTATTCAGTAACCTATTCTAATGGCTTAAATGAAGGAACATGTGTGAAGCATTTGGCACAGGCCAACCTCTCATCAGTGCTAATGTTTCCCAGGATCCTTTGCTTTTCTCGGAGGAGTAACAAGCCTTGTAAGCTGCTGTTTTTGCATTGCAGGTCCAATTTGGCCATGCTGGAGCTTGTGCCAACCAGGCTTCTGAAACCGCAGTAGCCAAGAACCAGGCCTTGAAGGAGGCAGGAGTGTTTGTGCCCCGCAGCTTCGATGAGCTTGGAGAAATCATTCAGTAAGGAGTGGACAGGATGTGGTCTCCCACCCTTTCTTGATCCCTCCTAAGGACAACAGCCCCTCTAGTGCAGGGGTATCCAGATACTCTCAGTTCCTCTTGGGCTCTAATGCACTATAGGGAAAACCATCTTTTTCTTGGCTTTTGTTTTAGTTTAAAAGCCAGGACAATCAGGCTGGTCAGCTGAGGCTACCTGATTGGCTGGTTTCTGGTGGCAATAAATAAGACATGGGCTTGGACATGTTTAGAAGGTGTCATTCTGAGTATCACTTCTGATTGAAAGAGTTATTGGACATTCACTTTCTATTTCTACCTCCTGAACCTGCCTTGGCTGTTCTTGTCTCTCTTCCTTTCATCCCCAGATTCAACATCTAAAGTAGAGCGAAGGGTGGGAGCAATAGTCTGGGCTATAATTGTTTTCATTTAGTTCTTTGGATCCAGCTGGTAAGAGTAGGGTCTTGAGAGCTGAAGAAGCCTACAGTTTTTGGGATAGAGCCTCACAGTATCTGCATGAACAATAACATCTCCTGTCTCTGCCCCCAGGTCAGTGTATGAAGATCTTGTGGCCAAAGGAGCCATTGTACCTGCTCAGGAAGTGCCACCTCCAACAGTGCCTATGGACTACTCTTGGGCCAGGGTAAGTGTCATGGGTGTCCCTTGGAGGGCTAAGATAGATTTTTGGTTTTTGTTTTTCTTGTTTGTTTTAAGATTGATTGATTGATTGATTGTGTAAACAGTGTTCTGTTTGCATGTATGTCTGCATTCCATAAGAGGGCCCCAGATCTCATTATATATGGTTGAGAACCATCATGTGGTTGCTTGGGATTTAATTTAGGACCTCTGGAAGAGCAGCCAATGCTCTTAAACTCTGAGCCATCTCTCCAGCCTCTGTGTGTGTGTGTGTGTGTGTGTGTGTGTGTGTGTGTGTGTGTGTAAGATGTGATCTCCACAGACCTAAAACTTGCTATATAGACCAGGGGAGGCTTTTATTTAGAGATTGCCTGTCTCTGCCTTCTGAGTGTTGGGACTAGAGGCTTGTGCCACCATGCCCAGCTCTAAGTCAGTGAATTTTAAGGTGATTTGGTTTGAGCTCCTGGAAACCAGGCCCCTTTCAAACTATTTAGAGCAACCATGCCAAGCTTCTCCATCAGAGAAGCATCAGAAACTGGATCCCATGTACTGTGTGCCTGAACTGTCCCCAGTTTTATTTCCAGGTCAGGTGACAGAATGGGCAACATGGCCCCACATATGTTTTACCGGATATTGGAAGGAGTCAGCTTCTAAGTGTTCTAGGCCAGCATTCAAAAGGGAGAGGCAGGTGGATCAAAGATCAGTTACATAGAGTTTTGAGGCCAGCCTAGGATACATGATATCCTGTCTCCAAGAAAAAAAAAGTGTCTCATCACCCAGCAGTTTTGTGTCTACAAAGCTACTTCTAAGAAATGTTTTCCTAGAATATACAAAGGAACATATCTAAGAAGTAAAAGGCACATTATGGGCAGACTTGCTAAGTAGTCTCGGCAGTCCTGAAACTTGCGATGTAGACCCAGGACTCAAGATCAGTGATCCACCAGGCTCTGCCTCCGAAGTGTTGTGATTAAAGATGTGCATCACCATGCCTGGCCTCCACTTCTTCTTCTTCTTCTTCTTCTTTTTTTTGGTTTTCTGAGACAGGTTTTCTTTGTGTATTCCAGCTGTCTGAAACTGGCTCTGTAGACCAGGCTGGCCTTGAACTCAGAGATCCGCCTGCCTCTGCTGGGATTAAAGGTGTGCACCACTATACCTTGCTAGCCTCCACTGCTTGGAAAGAGTTTCTCTGGGTATTTATTGCTGCTTGGCCCTCAGAATGGCTAAGACATTCCTGGGACATCTTTGTTCTGAAGGCACAGACAGCTATCTGTCTTAGGAAAAAGTCCCCGATGGTCACCATAGCCCTGTGTCTCTCTATCCTTGCTCAGGAGCTGGGTTTGATCCGAAAACCTGCCTCATTCATGACCAGCATCTGTGATGAGCGAGGGCAGGAGCTCATTTACGCAGGCATGCCCATCACCGAGGTCTTCAAGGAAGAGATGGGCATCGGTGGCGTCCTCGGCCTCCTCTGGTTCCAGAGACGGTGAGGCATGATAGGCAGGGGTGGTCGGGCACTAAGCTTAGAGTCCATGTCCTTCCTCTGACACAGGAGTTGCGGTGGGCAGACCGAGGAGTGTCGGCATTTATGTGGACACAGAGCAACTTGGTTAGGGTTTCTATTGATTTGAAGAAACACCGTGACCAAAAAGCAAGTTGGGGAAGAAAGGGTTTATTTGGCTTACACTTCAGCATTGGTGTTCATCACTGAAGGAAATCGGGACAGGAACTCAAACAGGGCAGGCAGGATCCAGGAGGCAGGAGCTGATGCAGAAGCCATGGAAGGGAGCTGCTTACTGACTTTGCTTCCCCTGGCTTGCTTAGCCCACCTTCTTCCAGAACCCAGGATCACCATCCTAGGGATGGCACCACCCACCATGGGCTGGACCCTCCCCCATTGATCACTAATGGAGAAAATGCCTTACAGCTGATCTCATGGAGGCATTTCCTCAGCTGAAGCTCCTTCCTCTCTGATGACTCTAGCTTGTGTCAAGTTGACACACAAAACCACCCAATACACCAACTTAAGGACAGGGAGGTTACTTGTAAAACAAGAAAGGGAAAAATGAGTGGCCTCATGAGAGCCCTTGAGAACTTTTAAAGAAATGGGACAGTTACAGTGACCTCAACTAGTGCCCCTGGTAAAGCTGCAGAGCAGCCCTTGACATGCTTACTTCCTCTTGGCAAATTGTTTGTCTCATCAGCCTGAATTGTCGATGTTTGTGTCTTCCATCACTCGTAAGGCTGACAGCTAGGCAAGGTAGCATATGTGTGATTGCACAGCACTGAACAGCTCTTCATAAGAAAGCCTTGGGCTCTGTCACACCTTCATCTTCAGAGACGCTGCAGTCATGATCTAGGCCTTCCCTGGACAATCTTGGGGTATAGTGCCTGAGAGGTTTTCCTGTAAACATTTGCCTCCCCCATGTCCAGACTCAGCCCTTGATCATTATTGGGGAGATTGGATACTGCAGGATGTGTGGGGCAGGGGCTGCGTCTCCGCTCTGGTAGCAGGCATGTGTCGAGACATAGCCACTGTGTAGATCAAATCCCATTACAGAAACTCAGTGTTGACCACCAAGGTGTCTCAGACTTTTTTTTAAACTGGTAACCCTTTTCATCTACTTTTTTTTGTTTTTTGTTTTTTGTTATGTATACAACATTCTGCTTCCATGTATATCTGCACACCAGAAGAGGGCACCAGATCTCATAAGGGATGGTTGTAAGCCACCATGTGGTTGCTGAGAATTGAACTCAGGACCTCTGGAAGAGCAGTCGGTGCTCTTAACCTCTGAGCCATCTTTCCAGCCCCCCTCCCTTCTTTTTTTTCTTTCTTTTAATTTTGACTTTTTGCATCATTTTGAAATGGGGTCATACTATGTAGACCAAGCTGGCCTCAAACTCAGATCCATCTGCCTTTGCCTCCCATGTGCTAGGATTGAAGAAATGCAACACTATGCCCAGCCTCGTCCTTGAAGTTTTTTGATTTATGTTTTTTGTTTTTTTTCTTTTAAAAGGATAGGCTTTCTCTGTAGCTTTGTTGTCTGTCCTGGAACTCACTCTGTAGATCAGGCTGGCCTGGGACTCATAGAGATCCACCTGCGTCTGCCTCCTGAGTGCTGGGATTAAAGGTGTGCATCACCACCCAGCTGCCCGTGAAGTTTTTGGGTAATTGCAGATGTACAGATTTATAAAATAGGTGTACAAATCAGATACTTACTGGTAATGAATTTATTATAAAATAATTCTCTGCTATATGTATAATTTTACTACTTATTAAAGACAAAGCAAATTTGTACAGTCATGAGATAAATTTGCTTGTTTATTTTTACATAAGGAACTTCATTTGGGGCTGGGGAGATGGCTCAGTGGGTAAGAGCACTTAACCGTGAAAGCAGAGGGATCTGAGTTCAAATTCTTAGCTGGGCATAGCTGCATGATCCTATAGCTTCAGTGCTGGTGGGTGAGGGGGTACGTGGGGAAGCCCCAGGAGCCCACTGGCTAGCCAGTCTTGACAGAAATGGTGAGTTTAGGAGCTGGAGAGATGGCTCAGTGGTTAAGAGCACTGACTGTTCTTCTAGAGGTCCTGAGTTCAATTCCCAGCAACCACATGGTGGCTCACAACCATCTGTTATGAGATCTGGTGCCCTCTGCTGGCTTGCAGGCACAAGACTGTATGTATAATAAATAAATAAATAAATAAATAAATAAATAAATAAATAAATAAAATCTTTTAAAGAAAGAAAGAAAGAAAGAAAGAGCGAAAGAAAGGGTGAGTTTAGTGGTTTAGTGAGAGAGAGAGAGACCCTGTCTCAGAAATCAAGGTGATGATGGGGTGTGGTGGTGCACATTTTAATCCCAACAGAATCAAGCATGGCCAAGCCTTCGTGGTAAGACAGTCTCAAGAGGTAAAATAAACAAATAAGGTGGAGAGCCATTAAGAAAGTCCCCCAACTAACATATTCTTCTGGCATCTTCATGCATGTGCATAACCCCACATGCACACACAAAATAATTAACCCTTGGCTGACATCTTCAGTGTTTGCAGAGTCGATTAGTACTTTGATTTTATGGTTGTCAATGTTCAGAACACCACTTTGGATGAATATGTACTACCAAATGGCAAAAGTATGTCCAGGACTATTTCAGAAATTATTGGAAATTCCATCCTAATCCCAAACCAAAGTTGATTTAACAATTTTTTATGAAACTCAAAACAGCAATTTTTAAAGTCTAACATTTTGACATAACACAATGCAAAGATGTACTAGTATGTATGTCTCTGTCTCTCTCTTTCTCTCTCAAAGATAGGATTTCTCTGTGTAGCCCTGGCAGTTCTGGAACTGGCTCTGTAGACCAGGCTGGCCTTGAACTTGAGAGATCTACCTGCCTCTGCCTCCCAACTGCTGTTATTAAAGGCATGCGCTACCACCGCCAAGCATATATGTCTCTTAAGAGGAGAAAGGTTTTATATGTATAGTGAAAACAACAGTTCATAATGTTTCATAGCCTCAAGTCAGAGCCAAGGGTCTCAAACAGCATCTGTTGGTGCTGTACAGTAAGGTAGCAGTAGCATTTGTTAGTGTCGCCCATGCACAGCACAGTGTGCAAATTGTGTGTTCAGAACTAAGACTGCAACGGAGTCATGGGGATCAACGTGGGCAAACACTGCAGATTTATTACAGTTTGGTTGGAATTAACTTTTGGTCGTTGAACATTCAGAAACCTTTTATGGACAGAAAGATGGTTCAGTATTAATATCATGTTCTGCAGAGTTTAATACCTGCGGGAATCAGGAGCAGTTTGATTTGGAATTGGCAGTAGAATCAGGCTGTGGAAGAAAGTGTACCCTTGTCATCACAGCTCCTGGACTTTGTTCCAACTCTTCTCCCTTGCACCTTTGTGTGCCCCTTCTAGGTTACCTAAGTATTCCTGCCCTGCTTCATTTGGTCCCCAGAAGCAGCAATGTTACTTTCTCACCCATCTTTTCTGTTCTTTTTTTAGGGTATCTTTCACTAAAGTTAAGAAATTCCTTCTTCCTTCCCACATGTACTTATGTTTTGGCTTGTGATGAATATCAGGTCAGATTCCTTCCTAAGTATTTCCTGAGGATTTCAACCTCTGTCTCAGTAGGCTAATGAGCATCCAGGATGGTCCATTGATGTTTCCGTCCCAGTGAACCATTTATTATTTCAGGGCTTATTACAAAATGCATCTTGGCAAACACCCCTTCCTTTTAATTGTTAAACCCATGTGTATTCAAAAGGAAATCTAGTCCATGTGTTTTTGACTCATTTGAGCCCAGGTCACTGGAACACGGTTGGTTGGAGCTATCTGCCTTCTGTGTAGTGTGCTGGGCCTTTTTGTAACCCAGGGATGATCTTAGCTTCCACAAATCACCACTGAGCAGACGGTGTACAGCTAGCCTTCCAACTGCAGCATCAGCATTTCTTAATTAAGTGCACACTCATGTTGCTTGCTGTCTTCTTGGTGACTCTGAGATCAGCACACTAGCTTCCCTCTAGAAAGGGGACCAAAAATGGTCATAGAAACAATGTTTCCTAACATTTATTGACCATTTACCATGTTCTAGGCACTGGGAAACCTCACATGTACTTAATCACAATAACCAAACAGGGAAGGTAAGATTATTATTATTATTATTATTATTATTATTATTATTATTATTATTATTATTATTATTATTATTATTATTATTATTATTATTATTATTATTATTATTATTATTATTATTATTATTATTATTATTATTATTATTATTATTATTATTATTATTATTATTATTATTATTATTATTATTATTATTATTATTATTATCTCTAAGTGTGAATCCTCTTCTGCATAACTGTTAACTGATTACAGATCTCAGGAAAGGGTGAGGTCCTCTGAGTCTGCTCCCCTAGTAACTGTTAACTGTCTATAAATCCCCTCTGTGATGAGAAGATAGTGTGCTCAAACTTGTGTAGGTTTCCTTCTGGTAACCACAGCTTTTGATACTCGAAGGGGACAATGGCCATGACTCTGTCATTCCTGGAGGATGCCATCCTACAACAGAGGCTGTATGCTTAGTTTCTTCTTATTAGATGTGAGACACCTTGGTCAACAGGCTTGCCAACATTAGCTTTACTGGAAAACTAATTGAGTAAGTCGTGCATGTTAAGATTTGCATCTAATAGATATGTAGGTATTTGTACAAATGCTCATATAGTGCCTCAAAGGATTAATGGACTAGGGAACACACTCCCAAGAGTGGGCAACGCTTTCCAATTGAGGGGAAATCTGTGTTGATTTTGCCTGTCCTCCTTTACTGCTTGCTGGTAAATGCATCTACCTCACTGCCACCTCTGCTGTTGCCATCCTTCACTGTCACAGAACACAGCTTCCTCAGTCTTCAAGCATGAACTGAAGGCCAGTGAATACATAGGCATCTCCCAGGCTTTCTGCACCAGATTGGGACTGCTGAAGAGACTGCTTGATTGGGGCTTCATGGATTAAGAAGCTACTGGGTTATCAGTTCTCCATTGTGAAGATGGAATCCTGCAACCATCTATTTTGTAATTCTACTTGTAATACATATTCATTCTACCAGTTCTGTCTGTTTGGAGAACACTGACTGATACACCAAGTCAGGAGAAAATTGTTCACTCTTTGTCCTCATGTACTTTGTATTAGACCATGGACTTCAATGCTTCAAGATGCAGCCAGAGAGATGTGGCAACCAGGGAAGGATCTAGCCCTCCACAGCCCTGGGCCCTATCTTTTCATATGTATGTATAGTAGCAATGTGCTAACAAGTTCCCCTCCCTCCCATGACTATGGGCAAGTATAGCCTCATTGTCCATCTCAAAGTGGGTACACTGAGTTATGGCATTGGCTACTACCTAAGTGCCTCTACATCACAAATTTCTCATAGTAAAAGCCATATATTATTCAAGACACCCACTTCTTCCAGAAACCTACAGAAGTAATGACTTCCCTCTGTTACATAAGCTCTCCCTTTGATTGAGATTCAGAACTGTGGTGGCCATGGCTGGCCTAGGACTGGCTCTTCTGACATCCACCTCAGTGTCTGTCTGTGGCAGCCAGCACTCACTCTCACACTTTACACTCAGTTCCTCACATTTTATCAGCTCTTCCACCACACAGCATCCTGCATCACCTCACA